GCCCGGCCCACCCTCCCAACGGGGGCTGTTCACGGCAAAACCCGCTGTTTTCACAGGCGTCAATCTCGTCGGTCCTCCTGAAGTGCCCGCAGACCGCAGCCGAGGGACGTAAAGCGGATTAAAATTAGTAAGAACTGAGATACCACGTTCCCGTGCCTTTGGAAAGTCACAGGTAGGTGTCTATGAAAAGCAAACACTGGCAGTCTCTCTTATTGGAAGGATAAACTCTGTTAGCTTGAAACTGCAATACACTGGCTAAAGCATGGAATCGGAATTGTTTCCAGAAAAAAAAACCTCACCAAAACTCTTCCACACCAAAACCAGCCAACCCAGGCAGAAAACACAACTTTATGATTTATTTGTGAGGAAGTCGATCAGCCTTGGTGACACAGTCGGCTCAGGGCTGCCTTCTGTGACACATGTACCTGCACAGAAGAGGGGAGCGCTGCCGAGATGGCTGCAAGGAAGTGGAATGGGGTGCCCACCTCCGCTCTGCCACCCATTTTACACATGTGTCTGCACCGGGCACTGCTGTGCAGAAAGCTGGCTTAGCTTAGGGCAAAGGCAGATGAGGTTTATCTGCTTCGAAATATACAGTTGACTCTCCTCCTCACTGAGTGGCCTGAAACGCCAGCCCAATGGGATGATTCACTTATTTATTTACCTTTACGCTACTGGGTTAGAAATTAAAATAATGGTCTGCCTCTCCACCTGGTTTGCTTCAGTTTCTGTCGTAATTTTTTTGGTGGCATAACTGGCCTGAGAGACCCTCCCCAGAAAGGAAGCAGAGCGCTGCACATCCCGGTGCAGTAACCTCCTCCAACAGCACACCTGGGTTTGGAGGACGCACATTTCCTCTGCTAGCCGGGGTGGCTGCTGTCGCCCCACCGCTGCCCTGGCCTGGAGGGACCTGGCTCTGCTGAGTCTCTGCAGTGTCTGCCTGCACCAGGACCAGACTGACGGGACACGGTAGGTGAGGTTTCACATGGTTTGGCCTGACTATGAGCAAGCAGTGCCCCTCTTAGCCCCGCAGGGCTGCCACGGCCCCTGGACACATCTGCTCCTCCTTGCCTCCCTCCATGTGCAGCAGTGCCACTGCCTCTCTCCTGACTCGCTCAGAATGCAGAGCCCATGCTGCTCAGGTCGCTTTCTCAAGCTGAACCTTTGTGACACCTCTCTGAGAAACTCAACTTTAATATCATGGCTTGCGGGATGTAGATTTTCACAGATTACAGCAGAGCAGCTATCATGACTACCACTGATCCCCAAGACTATCTTAATAGAAATAAAGAACGTAAGCCACTGGAGCAGCCTGTGAGACAGGGTACAAGCCGCAGCACCGCAGCAGAGCACAGTTGCTCTGTAAGACAACAGGAAAAATGAACTCTGAATTCATCAGGACAATTCCAGACAACAGAGTTTGGAGAGGGAAGGCAGAATCCATGGTCTGCTGATACGCAGAAGTAGAAAATCTCAGGCCGTCTGTGCTTATCCACTCACGTATAGGTTGGAGGCTGATCCCAGAACAGTTTTTTCAGTAGTTGAATTTCCTTTGTTGATTTTTAACCTTAATAGCTCTTTAATTACTGTCCTTATTTTCAAACCAAGTATACATCTGTGTCATATTAATGAATATTCATTGTCACTGGAAAGCTATTAAATGCATTTTTACCTGTGTTTCCAAGGGAATAGATGCCAGCTGAGTATAGTATTATCTAATTTCAGCCTGTTCTCAGCACCATAATAATATCAAGACCTATTAGAGAAGGCTCACAGATACATAAAAATAATAATGATTGATTATTTATTTGCTTTATTGTAGCACTTAAGGATTCCTGCCAAGATCATGGCTCTGCTGTGCAAGGCTTCTTGCCGACAACAGCACAAAAGGTGGCTTCGCCTGACAGAGCTGACACCTTGAATGGGAAACACAGCAAAGTGCTGCAGCAAGGATGTAGCAGAGGAGTACATGGTCATTTCAGCATCCTTTAATTCCTTGGAGGGTTTGCACAAATGAGAGAAGGGAGGGACAGTAACAAGGGAAGAGACGGAAGATGAGGATGATCAAGACAAAGATCAGCCCTTACCAGAAGAGCTGAAAAGACCCCACGGAGCTGGAGTCTTCCCTGGTGCTTGGCACCAGTACCCCCTGCTAGGATCCTCGGGGTGGATCCAGCATAATCTCTTACTGGATGCTGCTGATGCCTCAGGCACTGGAGATGATCCAGTGCCTGCTTGTAGCTTCCAGTGATCTGAGAAAATGGGGCGAGAGTGAGGCTTAATTTTAAGTCCATTTGAAAAGAAGGAAGCAGTTCTTTAATATTTTTACAATGGGTCTGTACTGGAGGAACAACTTCTCCTGAACTAGTCTACTGAGGACACTGGCATGGGGTAGAGTCCAAGACCCTCAGCTGGACAGCAGTGTGGGGGCACTTCAGATAAGAAGTCCTATAAATGGATCAAAGAGGAGGACAGCTAGAGTGTAACATCAGTGTGGCGATGTTTCCACAGCAAAGGAGATGTGTGGAAAACAGCATTGCTGAGAGAAGGGAGGGCATGGAGCTAAAGAGGAAGGATGAGAGGCAGAAGTTCAGTATTAAAACAAAACAGCCTGTTAGCCTACCAGTACAGACTGTATCTAGGGACTGATGGTCTTCAGACTAGTACAGGCTGGAAGAGCTGAAGTGCCAAGTATGTTCCTAGGCACTGGCGTGTGATCTTCCTCATGGCCCCTGGCCACTAGCACTCTCCTGACAATTCCTGGTATGATCTGGGAGTCAAGATGTGCCAGACACCATTCCTGATACATAGGTTGCATGTGACCACCATATTTTGAAGGGTAAGAGAGCTCAATGGATACAGCGTTCTGTGCCAGCACACCCCAGTACCAGGGAAAGGTCAGGGGTGTATTTCCTTTGTTAATATAGCTGTCACCTAAGCGTTTTGAAGAGAGAAGGGAAAACAGTACCAGCCCTTGAGAAGAGGGGGAGGTCTTGTTCCTGAGCACTATCTTACTCCCAGGAGCACTGGGGGCCTGTGCTGGCTGAACCAGAAGGAGGATCCAAAGATGGTTTGTTCTGAGAGTACAAAATCATTGATGAAGTTCAGAGCAAAGCCCGTGGGTGTTGTAGGCCCTGGGAGGGAGCAAAGAAATGCCAAATGTAGAGAGTGCAAACTCTTGTCAGGGAGGTGTTTAGCTGCTCTCTGCACTGGAAGGCAGATGGCTTTCACCATGTCCACCCCAGAGCCTGCTGAGACAGCAGAGCAGGACAAGGCCAGGAAATTCAGGGCTTGAATGGGAAATAACCTGAGCCAGTACTTCCATTTTGTTAAATACCCATCACTAGCGACTCAGAGATGAACAAAAAATACTTGCTACGTTACATGGAACCATGGCAAGAGCACACATGGGCATGGTGGGCATGGCAGGGCTTGCCACCAAACATTTCACATGGAGGTCTTAATAATTGAGACGGGAAGGCATTGTAGGAAGTTTTCTGAATTTGCTAGCTTTGACCTCCTTATGTCATTTTATTTTGCATTTTCTGAGCCTCCCTGACTTGCAGTACCTACAGCCAAGGGGCTGTGAGTGTACACTGAGAAACTGAGCTCACGGGGAGTAAAACAATGTACAGAGCCCTCCTTCGGCTTCAGTGTCACCTAGGTGCAGCCTCCAAACCTTACCACAAAACAGACAGGCAGTGATTAATTACAAATAATGTCATCAAGTGTCCCGCAGAGCAGACCAAAGCGTTGGCATGGGCAGGAAGATGAAGAAATTTTAAAATGATCCTACTGAGATGCTGGCAGGATTGTGGTGTCCCAGTATGGGCAGTTCCCCTACCCTACTGGTGCCTCTCTTGTCCCTGATATCACTGAAGGTGTGAAGAACATACACACTGCCTCTGTGAGGAAATGTTATTCCTCCTCTAAAAGTGATTCTTTTGTCCCTAAATCCAGAACACAAGATGTTGTAATTTGGGGCAAAATTGAGAGGAGGCACAACAGCCCTGCCAGACCCAGTACCTTCCACCCCACCCCATCCCACTCTTGTAACGCAGCAGAAGGAATTTTCAGCCTGACTTTATTGCCTTTGCTAGCACATGAGCGCTGTGTGGAGGGGCTGGGTTGGGTATATTTTGTGGACACCTGTTTTGTCATTGGCTTGTCTCAATAGCGGATGTTAAACCCAGGAAAGGCCTCCTGTTGCAGCTCTCATTGTATAACCAGATGGTGTACAAATGTATCTATGGTTAACCTGAGTGCTTGCACTAGGCCCACCAGTGCTAGAAGCACCTGATTTTCTGAAGTTGTGGTGATTAGATGTGCTGCACACCCCTAGAACAGCACTCTAAAGCTGCTGCAGTGAAGAAAGCAGCTAGGAGCTGGCCATGACTGGACAGATGAGCCTGAAAGGGGAAAAAAATATCCCAATTCCTGCTCTGCATACCTGGCTCCAGCAATACAGGACAGCACATTACATTTTCTTATACATGTTCGCTCCCCAAGAGGCTACAGATTGAGCAGAAGGCTGTCTAAAAGATATCAGGGTGTGCTGTAATGGCAATGACTGTGATTGAATCCTGTGCTTCTGAGCTTCTCCTGGCTTCCTACAAGGGCTAGGAGGAGATTCCCCTCATGCAAAATTGTGATTATTTTTCCCACTTCCCTACTGGCACTGCCACCTGGGCTCCTCCCTGGAAATGCAGGTGAGTCTGTGTATGAAGTGTAGATGCAAAACTGGGAGTCTCCTGTGCTCCAGACTAGCTGGAGTGAGAAAGCATCCCCTTCTCCCATGCCAGCAGTGAAGGAGTTTGCCTTCCTCTAGACAGAGACTCCTTCCTCTAACTGGTTCTCTCCTATCCCAAGAGGTCTAGGCAGCAGCGTTTTCCCTGTTTCTTGTCTGTGACACTGATATAAAAGGGGTAAAATCAAGCTCTTGGGTTAGCATAAAAAACCCAGGGAGAAATCCAGGGAGGGGTGGGAAGTCCTGACTCTGAGCACATACATGAAAGCCCTGGGCATCAATCCAGAAGAGGGAGGCAAAGAGTTTGTAGGTCTGGAATGGTGATCAAAGAAACTTGCAGCAGCCATCAGTTTGAACAGACATCCCTGAGCCACACCAGTGTGCTCACCTTTGGGACTAGCTGCTGTGACTCCTGCCAGCTGAGCTTCTGGCTGCCTCCAAACAGTTCCTGTCTGCAAGTGTGCACATCTGGAGCAGGGTGAAAGCAAGAGGAGCTGCTGGAGGGCAGGCTCTTACCTGCAGGGTGCTGGCACAGGAGCTGCCCTGACCAGCCTGGCTTTACAGTTCCATGTAAACCGAGAAACCCTTTTGCATCCAGCCTCCAGGCATGCCACACAGGGCTGCGCTGGGCCCTGCCTGGGTGGCACCCAGGGAAAAATCATCCCACCAGCCACTTCTAGATTTTGCTTTGCTTTGCACAAGAGCCAGGAAAAGGATGAGAGGAAAATTAACTGCAGGTATACTTTTCTACAAGCAGCTGGAAAGAGCACTGGGGAAACAGACCTTGCTCTGCTTTTTTGCCTTACCAGCCATGATCCCTACCATAGTGCTTGATGCAGGTAATGATGGCTTGCCCCAGAAGTGAAGTAATATGTTTCTCTTCCCAAGAATAAGGAGAAACTGTCCTTTTCTGTGGTGCCCAAGAAAGCCAGAGGCCCCAGGTCCCTTCATGGACCATGGCAGGCACAGCTGCATCTCCCTAGGCACTTCTGGCCTGAAGTTTCTCCACGGGGTTTGGCAGAGCATGTGCCAGCACCTGGTTGGCATACAGGGCCCTAAGGAGTAAGTTTTCTGAACGTGCTCATTTTGCTTTTGGTGGACAAGGGATCACCTTCTGGCTGGGGGTGCAGATGAAACTGCGAGAACACTGCAGGGTGTCTGCGCATCATCATATGAAAATCACCTACTCCTACAGTAAGATGCCTGGAGGAGCCAGGACAGCTTGTCTCCGAAGAGAAGGAGATGACAAGGCTGAGGAACACTGCTGCTGTTGGGTGCATTGACAAGGAGAGCTTGCCATCTGCTGGAAAGCGACTAGCACTGACAGGCGACAGTCTGGCAAGAGCTCTTGGGTGTAGGTAGGAACAGGAAAAAGGCCTGCATCAGCAGTGTCTGGAAAGCTGGATGGCATTTGGGCTTGCAGAGAGCAGGAAGAGCAACCTCTGATGGAAGGAAGCGCTGATCTCAGGCAGATGAGGTATGACAAAACTCACTGCAGGGTTTTAACATGCTACCATCCCCCTTGAGCCCTCCTTGGAGGTACCCATCCCCATTTCAGAGAGAGCAGAAGGGAATACATGTTTGTGCAACTACTGCATCTCAAGTCATTCATTACTAGGGCAGAGCAGAGAGCTGGCGTGGTGGTGTCTCGTAACCCCACAGCAGTTTGCCAACATGTCTGTGGAGCTCTCCGTGCTGTTCACAGGTTCCCCCACTGCTCCCTGCACTGCTGAGATACTTCCCTGCCTTTAACATATTTTCAGGCTTCAGCCTTCCATTACACGACCAGTACATCTAGCCCAGCTGGCATCAAGTATCCTGATCCTGACATCAGCTCCCAGGAACACACAACTAGTTGGACAGGCCTCAGTTTTCCCAATCAGACTTTATTAAAGTCTAGGAGGATATAAGCAGATCTCCAGCATAAAAGATTGAAGAGCTGGTCTACCAATAGATGGACTAAACCTTCCCTAGCAATACAAGCATTGGTATCTCTGGGTATAAGTCACATCAGTACACTGGATAACATGGCTTATGTTGTCAAAAGCCACATCAACCCTACTGGCCTGTTATCCCACTGCTGCACTGAATGAGATGGTGCACAACAGTAGCAGAATGAGGGAAAGCTCTGGAATGTTACTCTCCTGGTATGGGAGTTCCCACTATGGGAACTTGACAGTGTACGGACCAGGTTCTTGTCCCTTTAATTCAAAAAGGTAAGAATGAACAGTGGCAGCACCAGATGTTTTGAATTCCCTGTATTTCAGGGCCCAAAATCCTATTAAGTATCCACCTATTTCTAAAAGGTGGCATTTTCACATGATCATTTTTTCTCTAGCAGAGCCAGGCTGAAAACCTCCATGCTGCAAGCAATTTTGGCACAGCTTCAGAAAAAGGGGGTGCAGGACCTTCTCCTGCCTCTGGCTCAAGTTGCACAGGCATTTCTTCAGCGCAGTATCATTTTAAGCAGCATTCGGTTCCAGGCATTTCCAGCCCTCCTGTACCTAACTAGACCATTTGGTCCAAGTGTTCATGTACCTTAGTCGTGAGCCAGATGGGGAAAATGAACCAGGTTAAAATGAACCCAGCAAGAGTCCCACCAAGGAACAGTGTCTCAGAAGAATGAGCACAGGCTGTGGGGAGGTGTGGGAGGAAGCAGGAGAGCCCATTTCTACATCTACCTTCTGCAAAATACTGGAAGTAGGAAAGACCGAATTAAAATGAGGCAGAAGCAACAGGGGAAAATAGTAGCCACAGCCTCCAATTTTTGTTTCAGAATGTTCCCATGAATTGTTCTTCTCATTTAGAGGAAGGGTGGGGAAATTGCTTTGAAAAAGAGAATAACTCTGAACTCCTCTTCCCAAGTTCAGCCCAAAACTTAAGCTCTACTATGAAATTCCCCAAACAAGGGCTTACTTAGACCATGTTGTGTTATAAGTCAAGTTAGGGGAAACAATCAGCTGGAATTTGAGTGTAGGTTTGTGTGGAGCTCCAAGGATACTCCAGCAAAAATATGTTCTTTTCTAAATCTGGACAGAACCAAATAGTCTCCCAGGAAAATAACAGGCTTTGCAATTCCAGGTATGCTTCCAGATCAAAGATGCTCAAACATATCTAGAGTGACTCTAAGGGTTTTTTTTTTTGTAAATTATGAGGAAGGCTAGGAAAAATTCCAGTCTAGTAATACTCTAAAGGGGTCTTCAAAATCTAACCTTTGATTACTGTGAAGATCTTCAAAATCAGAAGAAATGCTACCACTAACATGTCATGCTCCTTTCTCAAACAGTCATGCCTGGCAGCCTCTTGCAGATCTCCTTGGCTTTAATTTACACATTACTCCATCTAGTGGCCTAATGGTTCCAGCTTCCATGAGTTTAAAACTCTGCCCTGGTACCAGCTGAAATTCAAACCTCTGCAGCAGTTTTGCCATCACCACTTTTGCCTCCATCTGTTAAGAAGAAAAACAAACCCATTGTCAGTGACAGCAAATACAGCTTGGACTGCAACTACTTAAAGTCAGTGTACTATATCATGCTGTTTTGTCAATATAGAGATTTTTTAAAGTTAAATGTTACTCTCTTAATGCAGACAGTTGAGTTTGGACACAAAGAATCAACCTGGGGCTTCCTGGATTTGAAGATGACAGGCACTAAGATCAGCCCTTGTGTTTATGCATTGACCCTGTTTTAGAAATCAGGAGTCTAAGCACTTTAATCTGAAGATTTCAAGCACTGGTGCTTAGATGAACTCATAGCAGAGACCCAAAGAGCTGACCTCCTACTGTCCTTCTGAAATCTCTCTGCCATGCTCAAGTAATTCATGCAATTGTTCCTCCCATCCACACAGCCTCCTCCTCACCTTCTCAGTGCCAGTCCTGGCTTATGACCTTCTGCCAGCTGATGTTCTCCCTGCCTTGACTCTGCCAGCTGCAGCCACAGGATGGTCCCAAGAGCCCCTGCACACCCACCATGGTCTGCCCTCAGCTGGCAAAGGGATGCTGACTGTAATTGCCATCAAGGGGTTTGGATGCAAGCAGGGTGACCCAGGAGAGCAGCCTGCTGCCCCCTCCCCTGCAGACACCCTGGCTCTATGAGCACAGGGGTGACACGGGACCCGTTCATGTATGTTTGCTCATGCAACAGCATTTGAGAGATGCTGCATCGTGGGTGAGATGTGGATCCTCCCTCTAGAGCATAGAGAGGGTCAGTGCAGCATCAGCGTAGCCTCTGGTCCCCCACTATGAGCCACAGCCAGTACACCCCTGAGCTGGCTCAGTGCTTGCTAATGAAGTGTCATTTCAGGCCTCTGCTTACCTGTGCAAACACCTGCCCGATGCAGGACCGGGGTCCCAGAGAGAATGGAAAATAGCAGTAATATGGCCTGCAAAGAAAAAACGTTCAAAACTGTCACTTTGACAGCTTGGTTGTAAAGCAGCAAATATTTCATCACAGCAGAAAGGAAATGGTCTAAATACCTCCTCACCTAGCTGACTTGTTAAAATAATCTCCAAATCAGTATTTTTTTGCTTCAGAGCAGCAATACAGCTCTGCAGCATGTTTCCTCATCATTTCTGCTTACTATATGGCTCAGCTCACAGAGCTGTTTTGATATGTGCAAACGTTATTTCAAAGCTTGAGTGTCAAACATACTCTAAATGCTCTCCAGCCCATCTTGAGGACGTAACAATCTGCCCAGTTATTGCTCCTTTGGGCAGCTCTGAACCACACAAATGCAGGGGCATTTGGTTCAGGAGACCAGACTAACACTAGGCTGAAGTAAAACCCCTGACTCACGAAGCAGTTAAATGCAGGGATCAGTGGCAATTGTTTAGATTACTGGTCCCTCTTATTGCACTCCTGCCTACTGATTAGACTTAGGCTGCCTGCCCACATGGCTGAACAGCATCTTCTGTCCCTCAGCCCCTTGTCCCCTCCCTAACGTGGAGACACTTTTGAGCATCCTGCGGCCAGGGCTGCCACGCATTATATGCTTCTATTGCACTGAGGCAAATATTCAACCTGGCTTTGGCCCAAAGCTTTGACCTCAATATAAAGATTAAATAACATTAGTATGTCTTTTTTGTAAGGTATCATGTGGTCTAAAGAATGTCAGCATAAAAACTGCCCCTTAATGCTCTCTATTTGTATTTGGATAAAGATTTAGTGTTACTTATTCCAGATGGAAAAATAGTTTTATTCTACTTTTTTTCCCCTTGAAATCTCTTCTAGTAATGGTTCCTTATTACATATTTAATAACCTGGGAGTAAAAAGAAACTCACTTAGGTGCATCTCTGCTAAATCGGTCTGGATTGAAAGTGAGTGGATCCTTGAAATATCTTTCCATCCTTCCCATTATATAAGTGCTGAACTGTCAAGAAAGAGTTAATTTCCGTTAAGTTAGGAGAAGCACTCTTCTCTGTGTGCCTCTTCTCTGTCACAGGTTCAGAAATGTAACTGCCTTCCACTTCCCAGGCAGAAACAATCCAGAGTCCCAATTCATACCTCACTTCTGGCCGAAATTTCAGAGAGGCCAGTAGAAATAGCGACAGAAAAGAGGGAATGGCTTTAAACTGTAATAGGGGAGATTTAGACTAGATGTCAGGAAAAAAATTTTCACAGAAAGAGTGGTCGGTCAGTGGAATAGGCTGCCCAGGGAGGGGGTGAAGTCACCATCCCTGGATGTGTTTAAGGGTTGTTTGGATGAGATGTTGGGGGATATGGTGTAGGGGAGAACTTTGCAGAGTAGGGCTGATGGTTGGACTCGATGATCCCAAGGGTTTTTTCCAACCTGAATGATTCTGTGAAATATGCCCCGGGAGGATTCTGGCCCTCTGATACACAGATCTATTACATTTGGATAGACTGCAGCAGCTAAAAGCTGTTGATGGTGGATGGGACTCACAACGAGCGTTGTGTTTGCAGGAATTCTGATGCCATTGATGACATGCTCCTTCTCCATCCAGCGCACCGTCCCTGGGACGGGTGGGTACAGTCGCAGTGATTCCTTCAAAACCTGTATCACACAAAAGATCAGATAGTTAATACAGTGTAGGAAGCAGAAATAAAATTAATTACCTCCTTATGGCCTTTCACTTTGACTAAATGGGAGCTTTTGACGTGAGGAATAGATGTTCATGTATCCGCCTTAGACTCCTGTGGGCAAAATAAGTCACCTCCTTCAGGCCTGGTTCCTTCTTACAGTTGGTAAAATGTAGAGAAAAAACAAAACCCACAAAAGATCCTATTCACTGAACAGATCCAACACCTTAAGTCAACAACTAAGTGAAAAAGCACTGGGAAGAAAATTCAAAGGGAATATCTAAGACTGAAGTCTCATGCCCCCCGTGAGCTGTTCTCAGCGCTGGCTGCCATGAGGATGGGTGGTTGCTCCCACCTCCTTCCCACTCTCAGTACTGTGCTCCTGCCTTTGTCCTGCTTCTGCTGCTTGAGGAGCTGAGCCAGGTCAGAGCACCAAAATGACAAAAAAATCAACCTGGTGAAGGAAAATGAATAGGGAACAGTGAAAAAAATGGAATGAGACCATTTCTTTTGGTGGCAGTGAGCTGTAAGAATGGATTATTTCATCAAAGTGAAACCTAATTAACAGTGCACATTAGCATCGCACTGCAAATGCAATTAACAGTGTGTATGCACGAGTGGATTAATGAAAAAGAAGTATGGACAAAAGGATTCAGAATTGCCTGAGCGACAGGAGAGGAGTCCCATGGTTTCTTGATACTCCAGTGATGGACTAGCTCTGACCAAGAGTGATTGTGATTTTGGTTGTACAGATCCAAGCTTGTTCTGTTAAATAAACAGTCTGCTTTGAGAGGCTCTCATGTGATCTGTTTAAAACTGAAAGGCTTAGATACCTCATCCTAATTGGAGTGGTATAATTGTCATGGTGTTTCAAAAAGCCTAAGGAAACCCGCTGATTTCTGTAATCACACAGAAATGCCTTTTCCTTATGAGAAATACACCTTTGAAATCTATCCGTGCTCAAAGCACAGTGATTTGTGGGATGGAATATGGCAAATGGCAAAATACCATCACCCACTTTGGCAGGCAGCTTAAGAGAAAAGCAATCATAGCAGACTACTAAAATCCCAGGGAACTTTAAGCTGGAAAATAGCTGCCAGGACTGTGATTCAGCCTCTCCTGATGGTGTCCCCCATCTTGTAAAAAAGGATATGCAACATAACCACTGGCAACTAGCCAAGCTCTGGCTTTGCAGTTCATTACCAACTGGCATTTCTATACACAAGACCTCTTTTAGGACCAAACTCTCTTCCCCCACCCCTACCCCGAGCGACTGAAGAGGGTTTCAAGACTCAGTAATAAAAAACTGAAATTACAAAAACTAGCCATTATTTTTGGATGTCCTCAAATCCTGCTGAGTTTATGGCGCATAGTGAGATCACAGCTGGAAATGCTTTAATAATAATCAAACTAAAATCGAGCTGTGAGTCTGGGAAGTGCGTGGGATTCACACACAGGTTGGGCTTAAAGTTGAAAACCCTTCTTAAAATACAACTATGGTTTCAGCTTAAACAGGTAGGGATTAAGCACCTTTGCTCTAGATCCCAGCTTGGTAACAATAAAGGAAAGCAGTGAGGGAATTGTGTGGGATCTTGGAAAGAAATTTGAGGAGCATCCCTCCCAAAAAGGCTGGGCTGCTGCAAATGGCTCCTGCTTGCTGACGCTCTGGGGACAAATGCCATCAGGATCACATACTGGCATTCTTAAAATTTTCAAAGTGTGGGGCTCTTCCATGACATGGCAGAGGTGCTACCAAACAGCTCTGACTGGTATTTTACCTCACTCCTACAGTACCTGTGATAAGTAGGTGAGTTTGCCAAGATCCTCATAGCCAATGTCTCTCTTGGCACCAAGAACATCATCCACTTCGGCCTGAAGCCTGCAGTTAAATTTTTAAAATGTTAGCTGCAGATGCCCTAGGCAAGTTGACAAATTACATTTTTTATTTTCCAGACACCAAGTTGGTCTTTGACTCCCATCCTCAGGCAAAATGCCTACTGATTCCCAGCCAGTCTGCCTGAACTTGTGCCTCGTATCAGGATAGAGCAATGTGCATGCAGTACAGCCTGGTCAGGTAGGATTTGGGACCAGTACGTATAAAGGCTTTGAAAAAAATCACCTAGATGGAACTGAAATAATTAATCTTAAGGGTTTTTTTAAGTTTTAGATGTATTGGGACTATGAAACTGTTTTATTTTGGACATGAGGCTAGAATTTATCAGGAATTGATCCTAGCTTTTTAATAATCCTTATAATTAAGTTCACCTTGAAATTAACAGCAAGCTGGGTTTGCAAATTGGAGCTCACATACCTTTCCAGTATTTCAGGATGCTGAGCCAGTGCCATTACTGTAAATGACAACTGATTGGCAGTGGTTTCATGTCCTAACAACATCAAAAATTTGTGTAAAGGTTAGTATGAAATAATAACATGATACAAAGATTGTCTACTAGTGTGACTGTGAACAGGAAACTTAAAACGTCAGGCCTCAAATGTTTTGTTTCAAGTACGCTAGAAATGAAACACTAAAAGGGCTGTAAACTCTATTTAAGGAGCTTTCAAGACTGACAAGAATGAGACATAGCTGGTAAAGATACAAGCCATCTTGCTCAACTCGAAGTTGCAATGGCTACGTACAGCATACCAGTTACGAGCTCCCTAACAGAAGCACCCATGAGGTTCAGTATTTGCCTTTTCATATTATGGGACACATGGTTCTGCAAAGAAGCAAGGATTTACTGGTTTTGAGGGAAAACAGGGCTTCTAACCATCTTTCTTTGAAATGCCTGCTTTACGTGGATAGTTTTCATTTTTCACGGATAGGCATATGTATTATTTTAAAGCATTAAACAGGCTTCCCCAAAGATGCATTTGTCGCAGTAACATCTTCCTTGTGACAGTGTTTTGACCTCACCTTCTTAGGAACCAAAATCCTAAATCCTACTGACTTGTAACACAGATCTTTCTACATTGTTTACCTCACGTATCACCCCCAGTCCTTTCTGACAGGCTTGGCAGTGCCCTCACCTACCAAGCATCTAACACTCTTATGGCAGGAATGGCATTTAACCATATGGGTGAGGTGACACGAAGACACATGGAATATGTTAAAGATCAGGATCTGGGAGGAAGGCCAGAACCCCATGAGGCACCCTAGCAGGCAGTGTTGCCCTCTGCACCCCAGGTTAGAAACCACTGGCCTGGCATTACTTGCTGTGTTGATATGACTGAAGGAGGATAATACATCATTTGCCGATGAGAAAATTAAGAGTTCTCCTCAGACCTCACCCAGCTGGTTCTGCATCAGTGTAATACTGCTGTCTTCCAACCAAGTGACTCCTGGTTACAGCAGTATTGCATGGAGTGAGCAAGGACATTAATCATAACCCTGTAGATGACCCAAGAATGAGTACAGCTTCCCACATGACATATCCAAGCATTAAAATAGCTACCAACCTGCAACAAAGAAAGTGATAAAGTTATCCAGAATGTTTTCATCATCTCTAGTTTCCTCCAGAGCTGTCAAGAGAGAAAAGTAAATGAGATTAGATAACGCCCCTATGTCCCAGCTGGAACAGCCAGAATGCTCTGCCCCATTTTGCACGTTCTGTCTGAGGAGGCACTGGGAAAGGATGCTGAATGGGCAACTCAGCGGTAACATGCGACCAACTTTTGATCCAACACAAAGAAACAGAATTTTCAAAGCAACTCTCACTATCTTCAGTGTGAAAAAGACATTAGAGGACATCAAAGTTCAGATCCCCAAAACAATCCTCCTCACATCTCATGGCAAAACATGCCACAGAGAAATTCACTCAAACAGCAATGTGTCCCCTACCATCTCCTTTCAGTATCTGTGTAAGAATATCCAGCGTGGCTTCCTTCCCATTCTGGATGGCCTCTCTCCTCCGGTCAATGCACTCCTTTGCCACACGCCGCAGCAGCCTCAGACTCTCCCTGACCTCCTTTACCAGCTTCTGTTTCCCTGGCATGTACTGAATACAGAGTTTCTTCAGTCATTTTATTCATTTTACAAGCAAGCACCTTGCTTTCTTCCAAATGACATTTGTCACAAAAACATCTGCTCTCCACTGAACAACGTGAACATCCCCAAGTTGAATGGTTTGGGCTGAAATGAGAAATATTTCAATCTGTGCATGCTGATGTCCTGCCTTATCCGAGCTGATGTTTTGGGCCCTGTGAGCAAAATTCCTCACCTTTCCCCAAAAAGAAACTGCAGCATGCAATACAGAATCTCACCTCAGGGCCCAAAAAGGAAAACACGAGCTCTAAAAGCCTGAACTACAGCTTTCATGAGAAACTATGGAATGATTTTTAACTTAATTTTTTTGTATTACTTCCATAATTTCCTGGTGTATGAATTTGAGTTGAAAATACAATTTTTTTTAAGGCAAGAATGTTCAAATTTCTTCCACACTGATTGAAGGCTGCCATCCTCCTTGGACAATTGGTAAAAAACTCAGTTTTTGCAGTGATAGGTGTGAAAGCGTAAAACGTATGAGAAGACATGTGCAGGAGGGAAGAGAAGACAGAAAGACAGGAAGGAAGCATTAAAAGTTAATGTGTATTCTGCACGTGTTTTAAAGAACTAATTAATTTTATCTTGATGCACGCTGGAAGGAAAGAGATACTGATGACTGTTTCTCCATCAGATATGAGCATCGCACAGCTCCAGCCCACTAACTCATACAGGAGCAGAGGCTCCAGCTGGACATTAGGAGAGAGGCCTGAAGTGAGGAACATACAGACCTGAAAGAGGGGAATCCGTGCCTTGGTCATTCCCTCCAAAACCACACTCACGGCATGTGGGAAAGGCGTCCGGTCATCGCTCAGTGCATTTAACTCCAAGCCAAAAGCTATCTGTGGAATGGGAGAGACAAAGGCAACTCGCTACATCCTCCTGGCTCCCTGGGGTTGGGGTGAAAGAGCAGGACAGCCTCACACCACCACCTTTTCCCCTAAAAATACCTCAGGCTAGATCCTGCTTTGCAGAAGGCTGCAAGGGAAGGGCAACATCTACATTATGCTTCCTCCTTACTTGGGGGGGATTAATAATTTACTATTACTCTCCATTCATCCCAAACTGTTTTGCATAGAGAAAGGAAAAGCCAGTGAAAGGCAAACTTTGTGCTGACACATAACGGTAATAATGCAACATCCACACATGAATAAGCACTGGTGTGCCCCTTTTGGGACGGAGGCATGGGAGGTATACGAGACTGTAAAGGCTTTTCAAAGGGTCCCAATCCTGCAGGCCACACCTAGGCTGTACAGACCCTTCCCTAACTGCCTCTTCCTATGGCTCAGCCTGAATGGAAGTGTCACAATTAGTCCTTCAGCTTTTCTGGCACTGCTGGGTAAAGGTCTTGTTTCCTGGCTCCAGATCCTGATCCCATCCTGCTGCCAGTACCCGTTACTTCCATTCCTTCCTGCCAGTTGCAGAGGAAACAAGAAAGCAGACAGCTGGTACCTTTGCAATGATATCCATAGTCACCCGGTTCATCATCAGCAGCATGCTAAACTCTTTTTTTCCATCTGCCTTTTCCTCTAGCTTCTCCATCAGCTCCTCTGCTTTTTCATTAAAAGTTTCCATCAGACCAATCAGGTAGCTGAACAATCAATAAAAATGAGCGATGGTGGCTCTGGAGAGGATATCTTTGCTCAGGCAAAATTATCTTCATTATTTTCCATAGAAAATGATAAAGATTTTTTTTTATTTATAATAAATTTGCCTTAATACTTTAAAAAGCGAACAGATAAAATGAACTAAATTCTTCTTACAGCAGCCCTGCTCTGTCCTGCCACGTAAACGGCTGTCATGGCAAAGGGCTCTGGCCTGTGCATGCCAAAGGAAACGCACTTTATCTTCAGACCCAAAATGCAATGCATCGAAGCACACAGAAGCAAACCAGACCAACCCCCTGCTTATCAACCACACCGTATCCCCCACAGGGAATCGCTTAGGTAAATGCTGAGGCTTGCCCATGTCAAATCCCTGATCTGTTTTCTGACAGAATAAGGCAGCCATCACCACACTCATTTGGGAGTCACTGCCCCATGGGAAGTCTGGTCAAATTATACTTGTCATGGAAATGGTGCATTGGACTCTAAGTAAAATGTGATTTTGGCACTAAATGGGTTTCTTCTCTTTATAAATATCAAATAATGGATCAATGACAGGAAGAATCACGAAAATACAGTAGAAGTAACAGCTAGGTCATCCCAGAGATATTTGCCTTACGTTCGGCTGAAAGCTGGATCCATTATCTTCCGCTGCTTGTGCCAATGCTCATGGTTGTAAACAGTTACCAAGCCATTTCCTAGAAACCTAGCATTTAGGAAAACAAGGAAAGGAACAGTTTTCGCACCAAGGGAGCCAGCCAGACCACATGTACTCACAAAGATAACTCTTCCACATCTACTTTTTTGTATTTTCCTCATGTTTAGGGAGCACTGTGCTGCTTTGAGTACATAGTCATTGCCAGTGACTGAACTGCAGATATGCTTTGCCTGGTAGGTGTGGACTGCTGAGTCCAATGAGATGCTGATTCATTACAGCTGTTAGCAAATAATTAATATCATAAGGGGATTATTGTATTTTTAAAAGCTTCAGGCTAACAGAGAAAAAAACCCTTTTTTGAACATAAAATCTGGAGACTCCTATACCTTAAGGAATAATTCACTGCTCTAAAATCTAAGTGAAAAGTTTGATGATGGTCTTGAGCAAACTATTCTGAGACTAACTGAACATGCGGGGCGGGGGGGGGCAGGGAAGAGTATGATCAAGGAAAAAAGAATCCAACATAACCGCCTCCCTAACTGGGAAGACATTTGACTTGACACATAATTTAACAAGTACATGCTGCTTATGTATGTCTGGAATTAGTCATTAATCCCCAGACTAAGGTAAATGGTCTAGGTCAAACCAAGTGTCATGTCTGTGACCTTATCAATCTTTCACTTATTTTCAGATCAAAGCAGCTTCATATGGGTTTCACCTACCTCTCACCAAATAAGTTGAAGATACGACCGTACACCAGTCGATCCTTTGGATACTGTGGTGACATCAAGAACTCCTAAAATCAAATCTCAGGTCAGTGAATACTGAGTGTGATCCATTTCCCAGACAAAACATAGAAAGACACTCACACATTCACTCTTTTCCTCCTGTAGCAGCAGTCTGAAGACTAGATGAATTATTTGGTGTGCCCCGATTCCCCAGTTCCTGTGCTGCTAGCTTGTTTTGCATGCCTCTAGCAATTTTTGTCCAATGACCTGAAATCTCACTCTGTGGTTACTGCAGAGATTTAGAAGAAATTCAGTCCCTTGTGCCTCACTCATCTGACATATTAAGCTCTTGCAAAGAGTCTGCTTTTCAGAAATGGTGGATGCTTACTCTCTCTACTGTTTAATCAACTGATCAAGGAAGAGATAAAGCAGGACAGCCCACAAAGCCGAGCACCTCATCCTCCTAACCCAGCCAGAGCCACCATCTCCATAGCCACAGACCGGCTGCGCTGTGCTGCCCTGTACATCAGGCACCACGTCTCTCTTTCTGGAGGGACAAGTCAATCCTCACTGTCAATTTGGCTTTATTTTGCAGTACCTTCACTCCTTCAGGACTCAGGATCATTACTGAAACTCTGTGAAAGGCATTAAGCCGTACAATAGGTCCATATTTCTCTGCCCTACAAGAGGGGGAAAAAAAAAAAAAAGAGAGAATTATGGTACAAGCCACCAACATGTAACAGTTCAGATCTAATAATCTCTTAAGGACCAAAGCAGCATGTACTGGGAACTACTGCAGTCTTCAGAAAGTAAAGGCATTAAGATCAGTGTTCTCTCTAGCTCCTCTACCAACCTTCTGAATGGTGCTAAATATGTAATCCAGAGCATGTGTGCCTTCATTTCCCAATTTGTGCTACAGGGCTACCCTATTCAATGTTACTGATGTGTCTCAACTTACCACTGCAGGAAAAGATCATGCATAAACTCCCGTTTCCTCAGCATTCTCCACAAGATTGGCAGATGCCCAAACAAAAAGCTGCAGAAAATAAATGTTAAGCATGTCACAAGGGTGCCAACACAGGACTTTGTATGGACTGTCAACCTCGTTGCTCAGTGAAGCAATACGAGTGTTGCTCCTGTTTTCCTCCTCCTAATAAACGATAAAAATAACACCTCGCTGTGCCAACGCCCAGCCCTCACCTGGGTAAACTAGGGCCCAGGGTCAGGCTGGTGCACTCGTGCGGGTCTGGGTGGGAGCTCCCGCTGTGGCCACCCGGGGCGAGCACACGGCCGCCCGCAGGCCAGGCCGGGGGTCGCTGCGGCAGCGCAGGGCGATG